TTAGCGTACGCAGAAGGAAGAAGTGGATGATGTTGATCCTGCATGTCCCATTAACGAGACAATTAAGATCTTGTCAGCAGAGTCGAAGTCATTCTGGGGTTACGTTTACTTTTCGCTTCAAAGGGCTAACACGGCTAAGCTAATGGACTCAAACGAGCTGAATGGGACTCCAATTAAATTTGAAGCTCGTACACATCATGGCAAAGTTTGATGACTCTTGATAGACCTCACGGATTCTCGTGAAAATTGAACCCCTGCGCAGCAGCCAATTTGACTTAGTAACAATAACTTTGGTTCACATGCTTATGATGAGAAGGCCCACAAAAAACAAACACTTTTTTTTTAAATGAGGGAACAGTGCCTGAAAAGACGCAGGAAGTCTGCTGATTTGTTTGGTCATTATAATTTTACGTTGACCTTTCTAACTCATTTAAAAATTCAACGACCCAAGCCAGTTGCACTGAGCAACATGAAAGCTTTATCATGAGGTGACCCACAAAAAAGTCTCAAAAAATAATGCCAGAAAAGACACAGGAAGCATGCTATCTTCGTCTCCTATTGGCTGTTCACGCAAATTTAAAAATTCAACCCCTGAAGCAAGGTTGCAGAGCAACATGAAATTTTGTACAGATGCTTATCATGAGCGGACCCACAAAAAAAAGTCTGAAGGCAACGTGGATAAAAAGACACTGGAAGTCTACCATTTTGTATGAATCCATCATTCGAGCTGCTTTTTGGCCATTCACGCTTGATAATTCAGCCCCCAAAGCCAGTTAGAAGTCGCAACACGAAATGAGGTCCGCATGTCTACGAAGAGCAAACCCACCAAAAGTGTCTCAAGAAGCCACACCTGAAAAGTCACAGGAGGTCGGCCATTTTGCTTTCAGGTGGCCGTTTTAGGGTTATTTTCTCCATTGCCAGGAGACCTTCGTGTAGACAAACAGCTCAAGATTTGCTCTCAAATGTGAAGCACTTCCACAAGACAGATGGACGTTGGAGATTTTTGCTGTGTGTGCCCATAACATGTCAAAATAACTCCTTCTCGGGGGGGCGCGAATGTACGCCAGATCTCATTCATCACTGCTGCTCTCAGCTTTCATTTTGTTGCACTTCAGTCCACAGTTTGTCCTTGACAGAGCGCACGGTACCCACTCAGCGGCCATCTCGCTTTGGTCTTTGGTGTCGCGCAAAGCTTGGTGTCAAACTCCAAATGCTCAAGTTTCCACCCGCGCTTTCTGGCCTCGGCAAAGGTAATGAAGTGGAAATGAGATGTTCGTCCACATCGTTGTCCATCTTCGGAATGTTTCTCACAGCTCAACCAGATCAATTCATCAGGCTGTTTGATGTCCTTTTTGGAAGGTTACTTCGATTTATTACAATTGCAAGCGTGTGCGCGTGACTGTGTGTGTGTGTGTGTGTGTGT